TCACAGAGTGGTTTGGGTGAGAAGGGACCTTAAAGATCATCCAGTTCCACCCCCTTCCATGGGCAGGGACACCTTCCACTAGCCCAGGTTGCTCCAAGCCCCATCCAACCTGGCCTTGGACACTTCCAGGGATGGGGCAGCCACAGCTTCCCTGGGCAACCTGTGCCAGAGCCTCCCCACCCTCACAGGGAATAGTTTCTTCCTAATATCCAATCTAAACCTACTCTCAGTTTGAAGAGTAGGTTTGTCCTCTCACTCCAGGCCCTTCTAAACAGTCTCTCCCCATGTTTCCTGTCAGCTCCCTTCAGGTACTGAAAGGCCACAATTGGGTCAACCTGAAGCTTCTCCTCTCCAGGCTGAAAATCCCAATTCTCTCAGCCTTTCCTCCCAGCAGGGCTGCTCCATCCCTCTGATCATCTCGGTGCCTCCTCTGGACCTGCTCCAGCAGCTCCACATCCTTCCTGTGCTGGGCCCCAGGGCTGGAGGCAGCTCTGCAGGTGGGGTCTCACCTGAGGGGGCAGAGGGGCAGAATCACCTCCCTGGATTGTGCCTGCTGCAGAAATTAAGCAGTTCACAGGATTCTGGGATATTACACCCTTGCAATGCCTTTTCCGAGAAGCAGCTTTCAGAGAGAGGCCAGGATTTGAGCACAGCAAATGCTGGACAGTCCTAAAAAGAGAAAACCAGCCCAGTGCAGTTGTCAGGGCACCCAACCACTTCTCAACAGCCTGGGATGAGCCTTGCAGACTGATCTCGCATGCAAGTGCCTGATGCAAAGCAAGTAAATATATTTAAAAAAAAAATAAATCAAAAAGCATGGAAGGAAACAAAGGAGCAGACTATTTGACCAGACAGTTGGACAAGCACAGTCCCTTCTGACCTCCTTTGTATTCCAGGGAGCAATTCCTGAGCTGCATTCTGAGACAGAGGCAGAGTTGCCAGGCCAAGCATTCCGGCAATTACTCAGTGGAAATGGAAACAGCAACCCAGCTGCCAAAGGTATGATGCAAATTTCATTGTCCCCATAGGAATGGGAGTCCAGGATGGGTTTGGGGCTCTTTGCTTGGAATTTAAAATCACTTGTAGGTCCACAGAAACTAAACATTTAAGTCAGGGCATAAGATTTTTTTTTTTTAAGGAAGCTCCTCCTCGTTCCCTGGCTGATGCTTCCCTGAAGGGTGATTTTGAACCTTGAATGGGGAATTTGAGCTGGAAAACCTGTAGGTTTGAAACCACTTAGAAAACAGTCAAACACCAAAAGGAAAAAACAATATTGTGCTCTCCTGATCTCTCAAAGGTCGATGGGTTACCAGAGAACCATTTGGAAGATGGAAAAACACAGGAAGGGGAGGTCAGACCTGGAAGGAGAATGGTGAAGTTTAGATCTGTACAGACACATCTTAAATATTTTAATTCTCAAATCAGTTTAGGGATGATCTTTATGGCAACAAAAACTTGTGCTTTCTTGTAGTAATTGAAATTAAGCAGCACTTGCTGAACCAAGGACAGTTTCTTATCCATCTGTCATTATAAATACAGGTAATTCCATATGTTCAGCAGTATCTGAATACCTACTGCTACAGTTGGATAACACTTCCTTCAAAAGTTTCCCAGCCTGGTCTGCAATGGGAAAATAACCCAAAGCAAATAGCTTGTGCCCCAGAATCTGCATAATTGTAAATCTAACTGTAAAGAAATTTCCAGGCTAGAAAGCTGTTACAAATATCCATATGCTTGTTTCATCTAAGATATAATGTGTAAGAACCTCGAGGGAAAAAGCACACTTTGATAATAGAAGGGTCTTTAAGATATAAAACAATAAAATCCATGGATTTTGAAGCTGGACATGTTCAAGATGGAAATTACACTTTTCCCAGCAAACACGACTGACCAGCACAGCTCATGGAATAATGTTGTGAATGGTGTACACGTGAATTTTTCCTTCACAATTTGATAACCCTGTCGACAAAAATGAGTTTCCTCCTGCCTTTATTATTCTGACTCGTTCCAAACAGCCCACGAAAGGAAATATTAATCAATCGCCTTTGCGGTTTTCTTTAAGAATCTCTCAATGGATCGAGAACCTGGAAATCACAGATACGATTGTAATAAACGCCAGGGCTGCCGAGCCGCTGGTGAGCAGGGACGAGCGGGGAAATGAAGCGGAACGAGGCGGGTCGGTGTTTCTGGAGCGACGAACGGAGGCGGAAAAGCCGCGTCCCTGCAATGCGGGGCCGCTGCCACCGGAGGGAGCTGCCGCCCGCGGAACGGGGCGGACCGGCCGGGAATCCTCGTGGAATCCTGGAATATCCCGAGCTGGATCATCCAGCCCAACTGCAGGCCCTGCACAGAACACCCCAACAATCCCACCCTGCCTCTGAGATTGTTGTCCAAACACTCCTGGAGCTCTGGCAGCCTTGGGGCTGTGCCCACTGCCCTGGGGAGCCTGGGCAGTGCCAACCACCCTCTGGGGGGAGAACCTTTGCCTGAGATCCACCCTGACCCTGCCCTGGCACAGCTCCAGCCGTTCCCTCGGGTCCTGTGCTTGGTCACAGCGAGCAGAGATCAGCGCTCCCCTCCACTGCCCCTCGGGAGGAAGCTGCAGATGTCGACAAGCTCTGACCTCAGGCTCCTCTTCTCCAGGCTGAATAAAACAAGCGACCTGAGCCGCTCCTCATATCCTTTCACTCCAGGCCCTTCACCATCCTCGTGTCCTCCTTTGGACGCTCTCTAAGAGCTTTACATCCTTCTTATATCGTGGCACCCAAGCTGCCCCCAGGACTCGAGGTGAGGCCACCCCAGGTCAGAGCAGAGCAGGACAATCCCCTCCCTCGCCCGGCCGGCACTGCTGGGTCTGATGCCCCCCAGGACACGGTGGCCTTTTGGGCTGCCAGGGCACTGCTGACTCAGGTTCAACTCACCATCAACAAAGACAGCCACACCTTGAATATTGTGGCAGTTCTGGTCTCCACAATATAAGAAAGATATTGAGCCATTAGGGACCATCCAAAGGGGGGCAATAAAGATGGGGAAGGGCCTTGATTTGAAGCCATGTGAGGACACTGAGGGCACTTGGTGTGTTCAGCTGGAGAAGAGGAGACTGAGGGGAGAGCTCACTGCAGTTCCAGCTTCCTCGGGAGGGGCAGAGGAGGGGCAGGGACTGAGCTCTGCTCTGGGGGGACCAGGGACAAGACCCCAGAGAACGGCTGGAGCTGTGTCAGGGGAGCTTTAGGTTGGAGATTAGAAAAAGGTTCTTCCCCCAGAGGCTGGTTGGGCACTGACCAGACTCCCCAGGGCAGTGGGCACAGCCCCAAGGCTGCCAGAGCTCAGGGAGTCTTTGGATGATCCTCTCAGGCACCTGGTGTGATTCTTGGGGATGGTTCTGTGCAGGGCCAGGAGCTGGACTTGATGATCCTTGTGGGTCCCTTCCAACTCAGCATATTCTGTGATATTGTGAAGTCATTATGAAGAGCACTGGCCCTAAAGTGGAGCCCTGTACAACCCCATAAGTGATTTTTTGCCAGCCTGATGTAACCCCTGTCCCCTGGGCACCCAAACCTGTGTGACCCCTGGCACAGTGCAGGAGGAAGAGGTGAAGGGCCTCTCTGAGATGCCAGGAACCAGGCACTGAAAAGCATCATATTGGAATTCATTCACTGCAAGAATTATGTGGGAAGGAGACCTACTACTTGTGAAAGCTGAATGCTCCATCCCTAAACTTTTAGATAAAATTAGCATGAAGACTACCAGAGAAGCCTGATAAAAGCCTTTTTCAAAACCTATGTTGCCATCATAATCCAACACAAAACTGCTCACTGTTTTTTTTTCATTGCTTCAGATCCGTCAGGGGATAATGAAGTCTTTTGCTACTTGTTTGATGTATCTCATTGTCATGAAGTTATTTTTGTCTATTCAAATGCATTCATGTTTTTGTTATTTTTAGAAGGGATTGAGGTCAACACCATTTGCATCACTGAAGCAAAAAAGGGAAATTGTAAGGCTTTACTTTGAGTCATAAGGTAGGTTGAAAGTTTCTTTTAAAAAACCCCAGCTAATAAAGTGTTTTTCATTACAAATGAAAAAAGAGATTCTTAATTAAAGTCTGCCACTGCAATTCAAATAAACTATTGGGGCTGATTTTCCCAAAATGCTGCCAGGCTTTAACACGGCAGAAAATAAACAGCAAAGTGAGTGAAAATGGAAACCACCTCCGACATCCTTTGGTATTTCTGTATCATTAGATGGTTGTAATTGGAAATAACAACACCAAGCACCTTTTCCTACGCCTTTGTGCGTGGTTTCCACACACATCTCGGGGAAAATTGATTCTAAATATGACAACAATATGACTAGGTAACACTGTAGAGTTACTAACAGAGCACGAAGCAGGAAATAAGTGCTTTGTTAATTAAATATTGAGAGGAAATGTTTGACACAGAAACCCCACGTTTCCACAGACTCAGCCTCTACCTTGTGCTCTTCTGTCAAAGCCTCACAGGCAGCTTTGGATTCAGAGTTCCTGAAGAGTTTGAAGGAGAACAGCAGCTGAAAAAAGAAATCACCAGAGGAGAAAGCTGTAAGATTTTGATGGCAGAGTCAGCATTTTGGGTCAAATCTAGACAACGAAGCGAAAAGTATCGGCGATTGGAAAATTAACTTTAGGGGGCTTTAGTTTATGAGCGTGAGATAATTTTAAGGAGAACGGACATCAAACCCTCGGCGCCGCTGGCGATTTTGCGGGCAGCATCTGCAACATTCGAGCGTCACTGAACGCCCTGAGACACGCGGGGTGCCCGGAGGGCTCCGACGAGCCGGGCGGGCACAGCCCCGGGCGGGCACGGCCCCGACAGCCCCGGGCACAGCCCCCGCCGCTCCCCGGCCCCGCCCGGGAACCCCCGGGCACAAAGTCCGCCCCGGGGCGGGCCCAGGTCGGCGGATCCGCCCGGGCAGCCCCGCCCGGCCCCGCACCTGCCCCCGGTGCCGCCCCGCCGGCGAGTCGGGGCCGATCCGCCTCGGGAGCTGCTGCCGGAGCCGGCGCCCGCCATGGGCGCGGGGCGCGGGGGGATGCGCTGCATCAAGATCCTGCTCTTCATCTTCAACCTGACCTTCTGGGTGAGCGCCGGGCCGGGCGGGGCCGGGGCACCTGCTGCGGGCGCTCCGGGACGCGGCCCCGGGCGGGGGGCCCGGGGGGTGCCGGGCGAGGGGAGAGGGTGGGCGGCTCGGGTGGGGGTCCCTCCGAGGAGCTGAGCTGCCCCAAGCAGCGACAGCGCTCAGCCGGCGCTCCCGGCTTCTGCTCTCATGGAGACACAGCTCTTCCTGGGGAAGCAGCGATTCGGTGTGAAATGACACCGCCGGGAAAAGGCAACCTGTGTCTTAACTGATAGTTTAAAGTAGTGGCCATTTCCCCGGCAACCGGAGAGCTGCAGGAGGAGGCTGGGAGAGGTTCTCCCAGCACCGCGTGCAGCGGAACCTTTCACAGCATCCCGGTGGGTTTTACTCCTGTCATTTCGAACAGCGAGCCAGCAGCTGCTGCCTTTACAAGTTCATCCTAAGAGAAAGTCCTCGCATCATCCCCGAGAAATGCAGGGAATGCTGTGCCCGTTCTCCCCTCATTGCACCTTTTCAATAGTCTCACAGTTCCACAGCACAGCTGAATTCACACTTTCTTTTCTCTTTCACTTTCCCTCGCGCTCTGTCCTCCCTTCAGCTATCCAGTTTTTCACGCTGGAAAACAATCAGCAGTGTCATCTTCTTAAACGTCTTTTTCTTTCCTTCTGATTCACTGGGTTCTTTTAAAAAGAAGTCACAAAGTAATCCTGTTCAGCCTCTCTGGAGCGAGCAGTTTTGGGCTTTTGTCTCCTTTATGCTTGAAGCACAGTTAAAGCAAATGCTGTTCCCTCTTGGTGACAGCGCTGCGCGCCCCGGGGACACAGTGCTGCTGTGCTCGAGCTGGAGGGGCAGAGTGATGCTGCCCAGCTGCAGCTGCAAGGCAGCAGAAGGACAAAGCTCTGTGTTATTTGTTTCTCAAAAGCGACAACTACTGTGTTTTGTTGTCCTGCCTTTTTTGCTGGGATGGAAGAAACCATCTCCTCAGCTGGCTGGGGCATTCAGCCCAAACTGCCCGCCTAAAGCTGAGCCCCTGGCTGGCAGGAAGGAGGTCCCCATGCTGTGACAGGGTGGCAGGGGACCCTCAGCTCTGCTAGGACACGTCTGTGAGGAAAGCCATGATCCCACGCTCTCCAGCTGGGCACTCGCCCGCTCTCCCGGCTTGTGGAGGTTGTGCCACACGGATCAAGTGCCAGGCAGTGCAGGGCAGGTTAGAAATGCACCATGCCAGGCTGCCACGGCCATGGGAAGCAGCAGGTGTTTGGGAGCCTTGCCCAGGTTGTGCAGGAGCTACAGACCGAGGCTCTGGGCCTCCATCAGCACAGCAACAGGACACTGTGCCTGATCCTGCGGGATTCTGGAGCTGTCTGCCAGGATACCCACTGCTGCCTGGGAGGCTGATAATTTGTCTGGCCTGTGGTGGGGCTGAGACCACTGACTGTAGATTTTTCCCATTAAACAACATGCTGTGACACTCCCTTGTGACCTGGTCTTGTTTGCATTAAAGGGAATTTTTCCTTCCGTTTGGCAGCATCCATCACCAGTTTCCAATATCTGTACTCCAAGACACTGTACGTGTAACAATCCTTTTACCCCCTGGTTCTGCTGGGGAGCTCCTGCCCGACTCCATTCCCTGTTGCAGTTCAGGCCAAGTTTTCATGACTAAATGACTTATCAGGTTTGAGAGCCACTACTAAGTTCAGAGCTGAAGAGCTGAAACAAAGCAGCACACTGCCCTGAAACAGGAATTTGTTGTTATCAGACGCTGGCAAGCGCTCCCTGAATTTTGTGGTGGGGGGGTTTCAGGAGAGCACAGGTGCCAGTGGCACCTCTCTGGTGCTCTCTGGTGCTCCCTGGCCGTGTGTCTGTGCAGTGCTGACTCTCTGTTTGTGTTGCAGCTGGCAGGACTGGCTGTCATTGCCTTCGGGCTGTGGCTGCGCTTCGGCGGGGCGATGGCAGACTTTGCTACAGACAAAAAGTCCCCGGAGTATTTCTTCCTGGGTAAGTTCCAGCGCGTGGGAGGACACAGCTGTCAGCCCTTGCTTCATCCTGGGGCAGGTGATGCATTGAATTCTATGAAGGTCAACAATTCCTGCCCTGAACTACCCAAAACTGGGCGTTCTGTGTGTGCCATGTGCGTGGTGGCTTTTGACTTCTCTCTGCCTGGCATCCACTTCCTTAGTCCAAACTAATCTCTTCTCTTGGATTTGATCCAGTCCTCACGTATCCTAAGTGAATTGTGCTAATACTCTCAGAATAGAAGGTGAGACAGGTCAGAGACTCGTGGGGTTCACCAATATATCCTTCCTTCTGTGCAGCTGCCAGCCAAGAAAACGACAGTGGCACCTCAGAATGTTCCCAGTGCCAGTGCAGCAGTTAAATTTTGCTCCCCAGTTCTCCCTGTGTCTCACTGGTCAGCACTGGTGTTACTTCATTCACATAGGCCCCAGTGTGACTGAAGTAGCAGAGCAAATCCTTCCACTAATGAAAAGTCAAACTAAACTACCTGGTGTTCAGCCATCTCGGGAGGTGTTTGTCCAACCCAGGCAGGAATCAACTAGTTCCTCAAGTCCACAGATCTGGTATTAGTCACTTCTAATTTTAGCATTTAAGATAATTTTTCTCTCCCTAGGATTTCCAGGCGGGTTTTCTGGAAATGCCACCTGTGTTATGTATCTATAGACACCCTTAAATAGCAGCTGTCTGGGACTGCCAGCAACTGCATTTCTCTGCCACTGGCAACTGTAACATGTCCTTACAGCAGAAAAGTCAGGGGTTTTTTCTGTTTAATCCATCACCCCTGGAGACTGACTCAGTAAAATCCAGTGGGTACAAACATTTTTGCCATCTCCAAATGCCAGGTGTGAGTGAATTCCCAGCCCTGCCATGTCCATCGAGCCACTCTGACAGGGTGGAAGGACTGGGAGTTGGCTTGAGGTGTCCTGCAGTCAGTCACCCATCACTGCAACATCGTGCAGTTACTTTAAATACCCCGATTCTCTTAGTGGAGGCCTTGACTCAGATCCACCACAGTCCCAACCCAAGCCTCTCTAACATATGCAGCAGGCTGGAGACACAGAGCTGGCTGTACAGCACTGTGGGAATAGATGGGGAGAATGTGATGTCCAGCAAAGTTTCCGTGTGATTTTTGTGAGGCTGAATAAAACCATTCAGACAGAAATGTTGTTTGGGACCTGAGGGTTATTGTAAAATACCCTGTAGCATCTCCACTGACACAGAGAGGCAGGAAATATGATTTAGTTTTTCTCTTACATCTGAGCTGCTATGACAGCAGCATATTAGATCACCAACTTCATTTCCAGATCCAGTTTATACCTGCTGAACTTCCTGTGCTGTGTGCTGGAATGGTTCCCTGCCTCATCCACTTATGTTTGTCCCAGGAGAGCAAACAAGACAGAAAGATGTTCTGACCTTCAGAATCAAGTGCTGTTGGTTTGTTGGAAGCCAGAAATTAATACATCCTGTGCTGTGAATAAGCACCACAGTGCAGACTGTAACACGCTGTGTAAACAAGATATTCTCTGGTGCATGTGCATTCAAATCTGCTTCTGTCCTAAATAGGAATTACAAAAGTTGTTCAGAGCTGTTAATTTTGGGAAGTCCTGGGGAACCTTCTTGTAAAAGTTTCATCACAGACCATGACACTGAACTATTGGGCTGCCACATGTATTTATAGAGCTGTCTGCTGAAATATGTAACTGCAAGCAGGGGAAGTGCTGAGGGCACAGAGATGTTGAGAATTCTTTTAAACTTGCACTTTGGACTGAATTCAGAAGCGAAGGGTTTGCCCTTTTTTGTAATAGGCACTGGACAGAGCAGGCCTGTGAGAGAAAACCAGAGTTTTTTGCTGCCCTCCCTCATTACAAATCATGTTAAACGCTGCTGTGACTTCTGAGCATCTGATGGGGCAGCTGTGCTGGGGCTGGGAACAGTCTGGGACTAAGTGGTAAAAGAACAGTGATAAGTTCAGTTACAGTGGGTTTTGCAGCAGACAAAGCTGCACTTGATGGTCCTGCTGAAGAGCTTTGCCTCTCTAGATTTCAGCTTGGAGTCCCCCTTGCCAGTTGTGTGTTGGGCCTTTCTCAGAGTCTGTGGGGCTGTCGTTTGTTTGGCTCTGTTTGCTCTCTAACATGCATCCTGGCTGACAGCCAGGACTCTGCATAGCAATTCTTAGTATGGAACACTGTGCAGCACGCAGGGAGCAGCTGCCCTGAGGGCTGGAGGAGAAAGCCCTCTTAAGCAGTATGACTTAAAATATAAGTATATAGCTAAATATCTAAGAGTAATTTCTTTGTCTCTGTTCCCCTGACTGCTTCTCTGGCTGCCTTGTGATAACCCAAGCCCCTGTGATCACATCAGCTTTGTGCCAGTGCTTGGAACAACAGTGCAGGTGCATTCAGAGTTTGCTTTGTGGGCTGAAACACTGTCCAGAATCACCATCTTCTGGAAAACATTTAATTTTCTTTCTTCTAAAGAGCAGCATATTCTGCTCTTTCTGTACCTGGACTGAGCTGCCAGCCCAATCTAACCAGCTTCTCCCTTGTGCTTCCTTGTGATGTTTTTTTTCCTGGATCCGAAATGTTGTTTTAGTTTAAAATAATTGATAATTCTATCCTTGCATTTTCCATTAGGCCAGAATGAGTCTCCTTAAATAGCCTTGCTCTTTACCAGCAGTCCAGCTGCCTTTTCTGCCCCTGGAATAGTTCGGGCCATGACTTGGCAACGAGGCCTGTTCATCTTTTCCAGCCACTGAGATGTTTTTGTTGGTTGGAGAACAGCTTCCAGGCAGCAGTGCTGAGGGCAAGCACATATGTGTTCTTAGTTTTCTGTTGCTTGTGGTTTTGTGTTTGGTGATCCATATTCCCCACTGCAGCCTGCAGTTAAAACCCTACAACAGAGAGGGCTGGGGTTGGAACTCTTTGACCCACGCAGTCTCCATCCACTTTACCAGATGTATCTTACAGACTCCTAAAATTGGACATCCACTGCCTGCAGCTCCCCAGCTTTTGGAGTTTCTGCTACAGTGGGACAATATTTTGATGTTGCTCCATCTCATAGTACAGTTTTTGTGCCTGTGCTTCAAGTGGTGAGGCAAAACTGGAGCTTCCTTGTTTGACTGCCTTTCAGCTCTGGTACAGGTCACTCCTCTTGTAGCTGCACTGGAGAGAAAAAAGAATGAAAGGGAAAAGATAATTTCAGCAAAGACCCATAGCTGGCAGTTACCTCTTTTATCTGAGTTGTCTGTGACACTGCACTGATCAGATGGAGAAAAGATCTGTAGAATAAAGGGAATTCCTTGGATTGCTCAACCTTCTTGAGACTCCTGTATCAAGACTCTGACAAGTGTTTTACTGGGCAGGAAAGTCTGCAGCAATCAGAAGGAAACAGAGATGCTTCTGTGAACCCAAGGTGTCCCCATTGCTGTCCCACAGTTGGTCCTTAATTAATTCCTTGTAGTGGTGCTGTTCTTAATTTTAAAAATACCTAAGGCACAGCAGTACAGACCAAGTGCTGCTGAGGACAAGTGGAGAATTTGTGAAGTGAAAACTAACACAGGGACTTTTTAAGGGTCTGTTCCAGGCCCCTTTTGTCCCCTCTCTGCTTTTGGTGGATGAAGGGCAAAGTCTGCTTTGGTTCCTTGGGCAACAGGAAGGACAAACTCTTTGTATCCCTAATAAATGAAGAGCAGAGGATCCCATCACTGCCAGCAGCAATAAAAATGAAGTGTATGTACTCAACAAGCCCCATCAGGAATGGTAACAAAACCTGATGAGTGTGAATGAATCAATCTGGGAGACTCTTTCTCAGCCCTGAAACTCTGCTTTTCCTACACAGCCAGAGCTCACAGCCCTTGTGCTGTGTTGTGTTCTCTGTTTCAGTTCCATGATCCAGTCTGTGGTCCAGGCACTCATCAGGGCCAAACCAGTTGTGGACAAAAGTTTCAGGGTGGCTGTGGCTTTTTCTTGGGGTCTGTGAGAGCACTGAGTGATCCTTCTGGCTTTGAAAGGTACAGTTAGATGGCACATGCCTTAGGATATGAAGTCATGTCTGGAGTTGAAGGATATTAGTAGTTTTTCTCCATAGTAGTGGATGCCCATACAAACAGGAGTTGGCCAGCAGTTAAATCCATGTAAACTGCAGTTCTCTGCTCCTGTGCCTCACTTTGTTCTAGTTCTATTCATGTATTTTGGACTCAAGCACTGTATCCTTAGTCAACAGTATTTTTTCTCCTAAATCCATGACCTCTCAAACTCCATCAGCCTTTAGAATGAGACCTGTTGGCAAAGCAGCCTCTGTAAAAGGTGCAATACCACAAGGGGAGCATCAAATGGTGTATTGGAGAGCCTGTACTTAAGACTTAAGCCACGAATTTGTCTTTCTTCCTATCATCTTGTGTTCTTCTGCTGTTCAGGAAGAGTGGTTTAGAAAAGGCTGATAGTGGCCCTGAGTGGAAAACGGAAGCTGCTGCACTGGAAATTGGCTAAAAAAATATGACAGCACCACTGCCACCCCCTGAGAAAACCTCCCTCAAAACGAAAGTTGCTCTGAAGTCTCTGTGCTGGGTCATAAAACCTCGCAGCAGCTCCTAAGAGTCAGTATTCCCCCTGGCAAAATAAAAGCAAGAATAAAGGCAATTCTGACCAGACAAGCCAATTTAGCCTAATGGAACAATCCATCCATCTGCCTCGGGTGGTTTTATATTTGCAGTGATGTTCAGGAGGCTGTTTTTTTAATTAATCACTTAAGCATGATAATGCACTTTTTGCTTTTTGCCTATTAAATTGTGCTCCTGGGTGACTTCTGCCACCCTCCTCTCTCTGCTGTAACTATCTAAAGCCAGTTCCACCCTGCAGCAGCAGTTGAACTCACAGTTACACCATTTCCTTCTCTGGCACACCCTCTTCTCCTCCCTTGACAGTGGCTGCCCCATCCCTGGAAGTGTCCAAGGCCAGGTTGGACAGGTTTTGGAACAACCTGGT